TTTTTCAGGGACTTAAAGTTCTTGACATATAGGTCCTTCACTTGCTTGGTTAGTGTTACCCTAAGGTATTTTATGTCATTTGTGGCTATTGCAAAGGGTGATGTAGCTCTGATTTCCTTCTCAGCCTGTTTGTCAATTGTATATAGGAGGGATACTGATTTTTTTGAGTTGGTCTTGTATCCTGCTATGTTCCTGAAGGGGAGAGTAGACAGCCTTGCCTCGTTCCCGATTTTAGTGGAATTGCTTTGAGTTTCTCTCCATTTAATTTGATGTTTGCTGTTGGCTTGCTGTAAATTGCCTTTATTATGTTTAGGTATGTTCCCTGTATTCCTGATTGCTCTAAGACCTTTATCATGAAGGGGTTTTGGATTTTGTCAAATGCCTTTTCCCCATCTAATGAGATGATCATGTGGTTTTTTTTCTTTGAGTTTGTTTATATGGTGTATTACATTGATGGACTTTCATATGTTGAACCACCCTTGCATCCCTGGGATGAAGCCTACTTGATCATGGTGGATAATTGTTTTGATGTGTTCTTGGAGTCTGTAAGAAACACACATTGTTATCAAGGATAGACATCACCTCAGGAGAAAAGGATGTCATAGGGGAATGTCTTTTTGTATGCTGTGAAAATACATTGCTCTGATTGATTGATAAATTAAGGTGTTTTGCCAATGGTGATGCAGAATAGGGTTAGGTGGAACATTCTAACTAGAGAGGAGGAAGGAGAAAGGGAGAACAGAGAGGACACTGCCAGCTGCCGCCATGAGAAATAAGATGTAAAGATACTGTAAGCCATGAGCCATGTGGCAAAGTATAGATTTATAGAAATGTGTTAATTTAAGATGTAAGATCTAGGTAGGAAGAAGCCTGAGTCATGATTATGCAGTTATAAATAATATTAAGCCTCTGTTTGCATTTGCGTCTGAGTGGCTGCAGATCTGTAGAACCACAGAATTAGGTGGGACCAGGAAAACTCCAGCTACAAGGATGGAAAAAGATAGTCAAAGCAAATGAACTTAATAAGCAAGCAGATGTACCTATATTATATCTGACAAAATAGGCTTCAAACAAAAACTAATCAGAATAGGTAGGGAAAGATATTACATATTCATCTGTTCTTCGGCAGCTGTGTCTGAGGCATCCTATGTTCTATTCACCAACATTGCCTGACCTAGCTTCCTCTGGCCTTGGTTTTTTTCTCCTTCAAATAGTATATAAGACGTTGTACTTCTTAATAAACATGCTTGACATAAGGAAAGACTTTGGCAGGACCTCCTGACCCAGCTTTTATCTTTGCTATCTTCTTTCTTCTCTATATTTCTCATCCCTGAGAGCCTTTGCAACAGGACTCTGTCACTACTGCTGATAAGAGACAGGTCTCAGCAGCTCAGGAACTGAAGTGGAAGTATGGAGTCAGCAACTGATTATATAGTTGAATTGTTTATCTGAGAGAATAAATGCTAATTCTCTGGGGCTGATGAGCAGATCAAAACCTAATTCTCATGACCAGCAAAAAAGGGGAAAATACACACCCTTGCCTGCACACACTCACGCAAGAGTGCGAGTACACATAAACACAAACATCTTCAACATGTAAGGGTCTCTCTTTATTTTTTCCCCTTACCTCTTTCCTGATGTTTGTCTTTTACATCTTTCCTTATATTTTTCTTCTAATATTTTTCTGATGTCTTCCTTCTAACTTTATTTTTTCTTACAGTTTCTATACCCCAGCAAAACTGTTTAAGCAATATAAAAATAACAATTTGTTTAAACTGTATATTGCAAGTGGATGATTACAGTGAATACAAGTAAAAAATAGAGTGTTTTCTCATTTCCCTTACATGATTAAACATTTTATGCATTACAGATGAAAAATTTTTTCCCAAGGATCCACATGCATTTATGTCTAAAGAACTTGCTATAGATTAAGAAAGTGTAAGAAAAAAAAAAGTGTAAGCAACCAAGATATTTTTCTCAGGTAGTTCTTTACTGTTAGGCTCTATTGAAAGGATTAGTCATTTTGACGGAGAAATGGCTGAGATCTACATGAACAACCTGGACATGAGTGGGAGTAATGAAGGGCGAGGGTTGAGGGAAAGAGAGCCTGTGGGAGCGGGAGATCCCAGCTGGATCAAGAACAGAGAGGGAGAACAAGGAATAGGAGACCATGGTAAATGAAGACCACATGAGAAAAGGAAGAAACAAAGTGCTAGAGAGGCCCACAGAAATCCACAAAGATACCCCCACAATAGACTGCTGGCAATGGTCGAGAGACAGCCGGAACTGACCTACTCTGGTGATGGGATGGCCAAACACCCTAATAGTCGTGCCAGAAACCCCATCCAAGGACTGAGAATCTGGATGCAGAGCTCCACAGCGAGGCCCTGAGTGGAGCTCAGGGAGTCCAATTAGCGAGAAAGAAGAGGGTTTATATGACTGAGAATTGTTGAAACCAAGGTTGGATAAAGCACAGGGACAAATAGCCAAACGAATGGAAACACATGAACTATGTCCCAAAGGCTGAGGGGCCCCTAACCTGGATCAGGCCCTCTGAATAGGTGAGACAGTTGATTGACTTGATCTGTTTGGGAGGCATCTAGGCAGTGGTACCAGGTCCTGTGCTCATTGCATGAGTTGGCTGTTTGAAACCTGGGGCTTATGCAGGGACGCTTGGCTCAGTCCGGGAGGAGGGGACTGGACCTGCCTGGACTGAGTCTACCAGGTTGATCTCAGTCCTCGGGTGAGGCTTTGCCCTGGAGGAGGTGGGAATGGGGAGTGGGCTTGGGGGAAGGGGAGGGGTGCGGGAGGGGGGAGAACAAGGGGATCCGTGGCTGATATGTAGAACTGAATGGTATTGTAAAATAAAATAAAAGGAAAAAAAAAGAAAGGATTAGTCATTTTATTATTTATATCAAAAGGTAATATAAAAATCTTAAAGAATCACAAATATAAACTTGTATATATAAAAACAATCAGTCATTTCTACTTCAACTCCTCAGAATGAGTATCCACTCATCAACAATCTTTTATCAAATCATATCTGGCAGGCAAAGGGCAAAAGTAAGTACAAGGAATCAATCATTGCCTTTGATTACCAACCCTTCTGAACAAGAAGTCAGCAGTAGCCTAAATGCCATTGTTTTGTTCCCTGAACTTAACAATCCATTGCTCAAGTAAGAAAAGTGTAGCTTTCTAAAGTTGAATTTTTCCCCATGATTTTCTATATCAAAGCCATTAACAAAAACATCTTAAGCTAACTTTACTAACAATATACATTTTTAAATTCTTTCTAACAGTGGTGGTTGAATCATTCATCTTGTCCAGCAGCAATGGTTGGAAAAAGTCAATCACTATTATTTAAGTTCCAGTAACACTGCCCAATAATAGGCTTGAAACCCCCTGAGAGTTTTCAGACAAGTCATAGTTTATGAGGGATGTGGTAACCATGAGCTTAATAAGTATAGCTATGCTCAATAACAGCACGAGGTCCTCAGGACCTCAGGACCTCAGCGCTCTGCCTCTCTAAGGCTCACTGGGCATGCTTATGCTGACTGGCAATCTGTGTTGACTGATCTCCAAAGCTGCTTGCTATTCCTCTTGCATAGCCCACATGGCTGGATATTTCACTTCTTTCCTAGTGGTTTGTGGGCTTTCCTTGCATCCCCATCTTGGGCTGCTACCCACTAGGTACCTTGAAACCCACTTGGGCTTCTGCTGTGCTATGCAATTGGCAGAGTTGGTAAGTCAGTTAAGATTTCTTTCTTTTTTTTTTTTTATAATTTTTTTTTAAATTTATTTATTTATTATGTATACAGTGTTCTGTCTGCATGCAGGCCTGCAGGCCAGAAGAGGGCACCAGATCTCATTACAGATGGTTGTGAGCCACCATGTGGTTGCTGGGAATTGAACTCAGGACCTTTGGAAGAACAGCCAGTGCTCTTAACCGCTGAGCCATCTCTCCAGCCCCCAGTTAAGATTTCTTAAAGGGAGAAATTAGTTAAAAGAGAATTTTTTTCCCCATTAAAAAATGGGAAACATTTTTACAATGGCAGATATTTGATCTCTGCTTGATAACATATTAGGTAGTTTGAAAATGGAACAACTAAATGAGAGGGTAATTAATGTTGATGGATAGATGTAATGTCAATTATAAATATTATTTGTTTGATCATTTCTGTTTTATCACTAAAAAAGTTATTAACCAAGATAAAAATTTTAGAAAAATTTGTTAAGACATATCATAGAGAAATTCAAACCCAAATAGAGGAATTTAAAGGTGAACCAATCTTAGCATTACATTATACAATTACAGAGAAACAGCCTAAAGCTTTCAAATAGCCAACCTTAATCTATCCAGTAGCCATATAGGAACTGCCAAATGCCCAAGGCTGTGTACGAGCTGATTGGACCTCTGTGCAAATGTTAGATTTGAGGAGATTCAAAGAAGTTATAGTGTCATATGATGTGCATTCTCTGTTCCTGAAGCAAATGTTAAATTCACGGTCAGCTTGTAATTGAATTATCCCTCAAGACGGGAAAGATTTGGTTACAGAGGTCTTAGAGGTAATGATGTATGGCTAGAGGTATGGAAATTTTTCGAGATAAACTTCTTGGAGAAGGCAGTCATGGTGATATACAAAGATAATCTATATATGATGACCACACCTTAATTTTATGCCAAATGGCAGCCTTGAATGCTTGGGACAGAATTGAAGAAGAAAAAAAATTGAGTGATTTACAAAAGTTATACAAGGCCCAAAAGAAACCTTCACTGATTTCTTATAAAAGGTGTCTTTGGCAGTAAGTAGAATAATACCAAATTCAGAAGCTAGACAGATAATAATTGAATCTCTGACTTTTGAAAATGCTAATGCACAATGCAAAAGGATAATTAGGCTGTTAGAGGCAAGATCAGCACCCTTAGAGGAATAGATCCAAGATACAATTAAAATTGAATCTCATGACCATGATGATACTTGGATAGGATAGGTGATTTCCAGAGGTTTGAAGAAAAATAGTAATGTCAGGTGTTTTAATTTCAGTAAACAAGGTCACCTAAAAAGGGAGTATAAACAGGGCATTCCTAGAAACAATGTTTTTTCAAGGAACAATGGCAACAGAATGCCCCTCCCCCTTCTGAATTATGTAGAAGGTGTGGTAAAGGCAAACATTGAACTAATGAATCAACATGGGCCTCTCACAGTCTGCCATATCAAATTCTGTTCAGTACTTTCCTGTTATTATGGAAGAAACCCCTTCCCAGAGCAATTAAAGAATCAAATACCTATTATAAAAAAATACTGCTCGGGGTGATAGAACAGCTATAAAAGAGAGAACAAAAAATTCATGAGAAACCATTAATCAAAATTGATAAAGATTAGATTTGGAAACTCTTCAAAGTTCGAGTTGTGGAAGGGTTTTGTTTTTGTCTTTCAGGTGAATGAAGGCATCTAGCTAAGGAATCTGAAGACCACTAGACAAATGAGACATCTTGAGAAAGAGGACAAATCATCTAGAAAAATTGTCCCAGGAAAGATTTTCTACAGTGAACAATGACCACTCCTAATGCAATCTCTGAAGTCTCCAAAAAGATGATGGGACCCCACCATGATGATTCCACCAGGATGATGATAATACCACTAAGCTGATAAACACCACTCAAAGATTGGCTTTGGACTACAAACTGTTCAGGACAATTTCGAGATGGCTAGCTGAGGTGATCCAGCCTCACAGATTACACAAGCAAGGACTTGAGACAATTCCTGCATCTTCCCCTTATGCAGAGACTAGACAATAAGTGATAAGCTACCTCTCCCATGATTGACAGTTAGCCCACAATTTTTCTTTTCAGGATCCCCTAAAGATGCCTTCACCTTCAGACATCAGGAAGTAATTTTAAGAACACGATGCTCACATTCCCAAGAGGTGGGGGTGGCTTTTGGTCCTTCAATGGGTTATGGATAATTGTCATTGTTTAGGATGGTTGGTTACAAGTTGATATTGTTAATGGTCAGGAAAAAGGCTAAACAAAGGAGATTAGATTTAGGATTCTTGTTTGAAAAAAAAGAAAAGAAAAAAAGAGGATAGAGGTATGGTAAAATAAAAGGTAGATCATTGAATCTACTCTGAAAAGAAAGATATGGAAATGATGGATAAAGGGTAGATGATTGAATCTACTCTGAAAAGAAAAAAGAGAATATGGATATAAGATTAAAAAAAAAGGTAGATTATTGAATCTACTTTTAAAAAGTAACTACTAGTTTTAAATATTGTACATTGGATTAGATTTTTATATATTATATACAAATTTTATATATTGATACAAATTTGAGATTAATTTGTTAGAAAATACTGTACATATATTTCTAATCTTTTTCAAGGTATTGTACCTATACAGCTCATTTAATAATGTAATGCAAATTCCTAGTCCTTGAAAGTTACTATTACCAACTAATTAGAAAAAAGAAATGCAAGTAATTATTTAGTCACCTATTACAATTGAACTTGTAGTCATATTAGGTATGTTTTCAAGGTCAAACAAATATATTTTAGATAGACAGGTCATCTTAAAACACTTCAGAGATTTACAGAATCTGGCATTTAAGATGTTTTAATAACATATATTCTTTTTTTATGACTATGAGATATGTCATAAATCCTGGCATACTCCTGGCAGCACCAGTGTACTTCAGAGAAGATGATGGGCATTGAAGGAACTTAATATGGAATTTACTTTCTTTGTGGCAAAAGTTAGCTACTGGGCAGGAAAGTGCCTTTGTACTGCTGACAGTATGCTGTTCAAAATGGACAAGCATGACACAAAAGGACTGCTGATCCTTGCCAAGACAAGGTTGGAAGGCTCTTTAGAAAATCCTGCTTCACAGATGAGTCTGTCAGATATGCTAAGCCTGTAGGCCAAAGAATGGATGCCCCAACATTGCAGAATAATTTGGGTGACTGTCTAGGCAGCTGGATGTTTCTGTCATAACTCACATGTTTTGGAAGTCGCTTGTTTGTACTTCCTGTTTAATTAGATAATATTATTTTCTTCTTGCATCTCTGAGGGAGTTGAAGATTATATAGTTCTAGTTCTAGTTTTCCTTGTTAACAATTTTAGGAAAGAAACTCACTAAAGAGGTATAAAGTGTATAAATTTGAAAGACATCAAAAGATAGTTCTGGTAATGCAAATTAGGATAGAAGGTAAATTAGATACAATCCTTTGGATTCACAAAGATAGGATAGATAATGGAATATTTTCTCTGAATTTGTCAAATGCAAATGGACTAGACATTTATTGCCTATATATATTATATATAGTTATTGTACTTATTGTATAATATAGGTTTTTCCTATATTATAACTTTTTAAAATTTTGAACAAAAAAGGGGAAATGAGGTGATATTTTATTTGTGCTCTAATAAATAAAGCTTTCTTGGAAATCAGAGGAAAAAGCCAGCCACTATATTAAACATAGAAGTCAGGCAGTGGTAGCACACACCTTTAATCCTAGCATTTGGGAGGCAGAGATTAATTCAGATCTCTGTGAATTCAAGGCCACACTAGGAACAGAGCCAGGTATGGTGGCACATACCTTTAATTCCCAGCACTAGTTAACCATAGAGGTCTGGAGGTCTGTACAGACAGACAGGAAGTGATAGAGGTGGACAGAAAGAGGAAGTGATGTAGCTGGGTGGAGAGAGGAAGTCAGATGCCAGGGCACAGAAAGGATAAAGGTGTGAGTATACAAGAAGTAGCTCTCTCTGGAGGCTGAGGAGTTGGTAAGGTGAGGTTGGCTGTGGCTTGTCCTATTCCTCTGATCTTTCAGTTTTCACCCCAGTACCTGGCTCAGGGTATTTTTTTTTAATTAATAAGACCGTTTAGCAATTTGTCTTACAGTACTAGGCTTTCTTTTCTTGTGGATTTTCTGAAGAACCAACTCTTTGTTTCATTGAATCTTATACTGTTCTCTTTGTTTCTATTTTATTGATTTGAATATTTCCAGTTGTCTACTCATCTTGGGTGCATTTGCTTCTTTTTCTTCTAGAGCTTTCAAGTGTGCTTTTAAGTGGCCAGTATGAAATCTCTCCAAATTCTTTATGCAGGCATTTAGTGTTATGAACTTTTCTCTTAGCACTGCTTTTGCTGTGTCCTATAAGTTTGGTTATTGTGCATTGATTTTCATTGACTTCTAGGAAGTCTTTAAATTTCCTTCTTTACTTCTTTCTTGACCCAGTGGTTACTTAGTAGAGAGTTGTTCAGTATCCATGAATTTTTAGGCTTTCTGTTGTTTCAGCTTTAACCCGTGGTAGTCTGATAGCATGCAGGGTGTTATCTCAATTTTCTTATATCTCTTGGGACTTGCTTTGTGACTGATTATGTGGTCAGTTTTGGAGACTGCTTCATGAAGTCCCTAGAAGAAAGTGTATTCTTTTGAGTTCAGGTGGAGTGTTGTGTAGATATCTATTAGAGCCATTTGGTTAATGAACTCTGTTAGCTCCACTATTCTGTTTTGTTTTTGTCTGGATGATTTGTCCATTGGTGAGAGTGGGGTATTGAATTCTCCCACTGTCAATGTGTGATTTAAGCTTTCACAGTGTTTCCTTTACAAATGTGGGTGTCCTTGAGTTTGGGGCATAGATGTTGAAAATTGAGATATCATTTTGATGGATTTTTTCCTTTGATGAGTATGAAGTGTCTTTCCCTATCTCTTTTGATTAATTTATGTTTGAAGTGTGCTGTGGGATGTTAATGTATGTCCTGTGGGAGCCCTTCTTGGGTTCCTTGTGGCGTTACCCAGCAGGTTTGCATAGAGGATGATTAGGACCATGGGCCTGAGTGCAGGTGTATGAGATGGTCTGCACTTGGCTGTACTGGGGGATGGTCTGTATGTCAAGTTGCTCTGATTGGTCAATAAATAAAACCTGATTGGTCGTGGCTAGGCAGGAAGTATAGGCGGGACTAACAGAGGAGAAATAAAAGAACAGGAAGGCAGAAGGAGACGCTGCCAGCCACTGCCAGGACAAGAAGCATGTGAAGATGCTGGTAAGCCACGAGCCATGTGGCAAGGTATAGATTTGTAGAAATGCGTTACTTTAAGATATAAGAACAGTTAACAAGAAGCCTGCCACGGCCATACAGTTTGTAAGCAATATAAGTCTCTGTGTTTACTTGGTTGGGTCTGAGCGGCTGTGGGACTGGCGGGTGACAGAGATTTGTCCTGACTGTGGGCAAGGCCGGAAAACTCTAGCTACAGAAGTGTATTTTGTTAGGCCTTAGAATAGTTACACCAGCTTGGTTTTGGAGAATATTTTGTAAGACATTCTTTTTCCTGCCCTTTACACGGAGGTAATATCTACTTTTGGCGTTGTGGTATGTTTCTAGTGTTCAGGAGAAGATGGATCTTGTTTTTGCATCTATTCTGTTAGTTGTGTCTTTTTCTTGAGTCCACGGATATTAAGAGATATCAATAATAAATGATTGCTAATTCCTGTTATTTTGTTGCCATTGGTGGTGGTAGTATGTGGTGCAATGCATGTGTATGTGTTTTTCTTCTTTGGGTTGTGCCAAATTGAGATTATTTATTGCTTGTGGTTTTTTTCTTTTTGATTTTTTTGAGACAGGGTTTCTCTGTGTGGCTTTGGAGTCTTTCCTAGAACTCACTCTGTAGCCCAGGCTGGTCTGGAACTCACAGAGATCCGCCTGCCTCTGTTTCTCAAGTGCTAGGATTAAAGGCATGCACCATCACTGCCCAGCTTATTGCTTGTGTTTTTATGGATGTAGTTAACCTCCTTGGGTTGTAGCTTTCCTTCTAGCACCTTCTATGGGGCTGGATTTGTGTATATATGATTAATTTTGACTTTATCATGGAATATCTTGTTTTCTCCATCTATGGTGATTGAATGTTTTGTTGGACTGGCATCTGTAGTTTCTTAGAGTCTGCATTACACCTGTCCAGGCCCTTCTGCTTTTAGTGTCTCCAATGAGAAATCTGATGTAATTCTCATAGGTCTGCCTTTATATGTATTTTGCCTTTTTTCTGTTGCAGCTTTTAATATGCTGTCTTTTTCTATGTGTTTGGTGTTTTGATTATTATGTGGCAAGGGATCTTTTTTTGTCTTGCAGCTTTCTGTATACTTTTCTTATTTTGATTTGAGTATTTTAGCTGTGATATGCCATGGAGATTTTCCATCCTTGCCTTATCTGGTAGATGCTCCCTGTGCATTATTTATCTGTATGGATATAAATTTCCTTAGTTTGTGAGAAGTTTTATCCTACAATCTTGTTGAAGTCTTGTGTGTGCATTGATTGGGATTCTTCTCCCTCATCTATACGTATAATTTTAAGGTTTGAGTGTTTCCTGGTGTCTCACATTTCCTGTATATTTTTTTCTGCTTTTTAAAAGTTTTCACACTTCTTCTTTCTTTGTTTTAGGCCCTTTTCTTTAGTTTTTCTTGAACTATAATACTTGTAAGATTTTTCTTTTAGTCTTCTAATTGTATTATTGAGTTTACCCATTCCATCTTTATTTTAGTTTGCATCTTCTTCAGTGTTTCTATCACTTTATTAAATCCCCTTCTCAGGTTGTGTATTGTTTTTGTTATTTTCATCAGCCTTAACGTTGTGTTTCTTTGGGGCATCACTTAGATGACTTAAATTTATCTCTTTCACTTCTTTGATCTGTTTCTTTGTATTTTCATTTTCATCCTTGAATTATTCCATGAAATTCATGACTGTTCATTAAAGTCTATTTCCTGTGTTTCATCAGAGTAATTCTCATTGGCAAACTTTTATTAGGTTAGTCAGTTTTGGAGAGCAGATAGAGGCTTGATTACTCACCACGTTTGAATCTTTGCAAAGTGATCTAGGTTTGTGTTGGGCAAAGTCAATTAGCTAGACCCTGTACAAAGATACTTTGCTAGGTAGATAGGTTGGGTGTGGTATCATGGAGGCAAATCTTTGTAAAAACAATCCTTCTATGTAGTCTTTGAGAATTTCATACATTTTTTTACAATGTATTTCAATCTTATCTATACTGCACTTTCTCTCATGAATTGACCCTATGATCCCCCAATTCATTTACCTTCCTTCTTATAAAGTCTAATTTTCTTCTTTTTGTTATTGTTAGTAATAGACCAGTGAATCTAGGTAGTACAGTTCATGTACAAATTCATAGAGGGCTATCCACAGTGACATGGTGAGTTGGTATTGGACACATTTACCCCAAAAGTGTCCCCCATTTTCCCAGTGGCAACCAAATTTCAGTAGCTCCTTACCCAGGTGAGGGACCTCAAGGGTAACCTCCTCACCTACACAGGAAATCTTATATTGGCTTGATCTTACATAGGTTTTGTATAGGCAACCATTGCTGCCACTAATTGATGTGTACATTACTTATGTCATGTCCAGGAGACAGGATTTTACAGTTACTTTTGTAGGATTGTTTTATTTCTTTTTTCTTTTTGTTTTTATTTACTTAGATCTTAAACACACAATTTCTGTTTTTGATAATTTCACACATGTACATAATTTATTCTGATCATATTCACCTCTATATAGTTTCTTATCTACTTTCAAATCCAGTTGATTTTCTTTTACACAACTAGTACCTCTCACATGCTTTTGTCTTTTTATTTGGACCCACTGAAAATTTCAAGGTTCTTTGAATGAACATGGTTAAGTTACTATTGACTGTGGCATCTCCAATTTACCAATTTACTACACTGAAGAAAATGACTTCTCCTCTACAAGCAACCATTTAAGGCTAATTGATTGCTTCTCAAAGAAATGTGAAGACTTGTAAGACCCTCTTCTCTCCAGAAGGGAACACTGAACAGTTCCATTTTCTACAGGTATTTTGAATTTATATGCATCTGTTTTAAGTTCATATTTATATTGGCTGTCTCATATCCAAAACACGGAATTTACCTCCAAATCCTCTGGCTATTTTTTTTTATTTAAAATGTTTTTGTTTATTGTATTCTTTATATTTTTCAATATTTTAGGATTTTGTTAAACGTATAAGAAGGTATAAACACATGCCAAGTATTCCCACTATTTTTTTTAACATTCTTTGTTGAATCTTTGGGGGTTTTTCATCATGTACCCCAATTCTGTTCACCTCCCTAACCCCCCATCATCCCCTCATTCCTATTGCATCTCCTCATGAAAGAAAGCAAAAAAAAAGCAAGCAAGTAAATAAAAGCAAGAACAAAAACAACAAAGAACTAATAAACCATAACAGAATGAAAACCGCACCAGAAAGAGAAAAACTTCTTCTTTTCATTCTCTCTTGACTTTCTATCACCTCTTTATCTGTCCTGATGGCATTGGAGGCTTCAGTGTGTCATTTGGTATACCCCTTTGTCCTATCAGCTTGAGTGACAACTGTTCCTTGCAGTGAGTCATTGGTCTGGTTTAAAGCTTCTAGTTTTTGGTACAGTATCTTCACCAGATCCTTGCTAGAGCTCTTCTTGGATATCCTGTGTCTTGGAGATCTTGTGGGTATCATTCAGCAGGACCAGTCCCTTCACAAGCCTCATCAGGACCTAGATGGGGTAGATGCTAAGGAGGATCAAAACAAAGCCCATTTGTGGGCCTGGATGTCTGCCAGGCAGGTCATATTGAGTCACTTGGTTGTGCTGGCAGAATTAGCTCCCTTACATGCATGCCCCCTGTTTAGGTTCATCCTTGCCTATGGTTAGGGGTGAGGGCCCTCTCTCCTGAATGCAAGGGCCAGCTCTCTTGCTGTAGTGGCCTACAAGAGGCTAGTCCAGCTTTTCCAGGGCAGTGGTGTTGGTGGGGACTGGCTCAATAGAGCCCTCCGATTTAATCTCTCATGGTTCCTAAGGTCTCCTGAGGTTACACTGGTTACAGACACCAACACAGATCCCAGCTGTGGCTAGACCTTATACCCAGACATAGCCCTTGGCAGCAGCTTAGGCCTGTAGGACATCTTGGCTCTGGGTGGAATTAATAGCCATCCAGATGGGAATGGTTACAGTAGCCATGTGGTCACCAGATACCACCAAGGCCTCAGGTTGTGGCCCCAACTCTGGGACTCTGCATGACCATTAGTTGCAATGCAAGACCCAGACCTCAGGTCAGACCCCAAGCCACAGTGGTACCATGGACCCCATCATTATCCTTAGCAGCAGCTGGTCTGAACATCACCACTGTCCCCAGTAGAGGCATGGCCCTTAGACACTAACTTGGCCCTTGATCTTGCATGTCTGCATAGCCTTCAATGGCAACAAGAGCATTGGACATCAGCTGTAGTTGGGCCATAGACCCTGACATATGGCCCTGGAAGGCAACCTAGGCCCAGATGACACTTTTGCTTTGGTGGAAGCACAGGCTTCCCACATCTGAATGGCCTCTGCTGTGGCATGGTCTCCCTGACTCCACCCAAGCCACAGGCTCCAGCCTAGATATTTGGCTCTGTTTGCATCCCAATGGCAACTACAGAGTTCAGTGTAGACCCCAGCTGCTGTTGGGCCATGGACCCAGACATGGCCTCATGCAGCAGCTTAGTCTGGTCAAAATCCTTGTTCCCAGTGGTTGCTCTGTGAACTCAGATCAGGATGGCTCTGATGGCAGCATGGATCCTGGAGACCAACAAGGCCTCAAGATTTAGCCCAGACCCCAGGTTTCATGTGGCCTTTGGTGGCACTGTGGGGACATGTGCATCAACATATACTTCAGCTGGTGTAGGACCAAGGGCAAAGACATGGTCCTTGGCATCAGCCTCGGCCTGGTTGTCGCCAGGTGACTGAAAAGGTCACCCAGATCAGTACAGCCCAGTAGCAGCATGGCTTGTGGACCTGAAATCAGACCCAGGAGGTGGTCAGAAACCCTGGAGTCAGCATGACACTTGACAGCAACAGGAGGCATGGATATCAATCAACATAGACCCTGGCCACTTTAGGACCCAAGACCCACACATGGCCCTTGGTAGCAGCCTGATCTGGACATCGCAATGGTCCCAGGTGGTAAGTAGACTTCCTCAGTCTGCTCCTCACTGTCATTGCCATAGACCCAGGTGGCAAGCTGGCTTCCAACATCTGCCCAGTCTTCATCTACCTTCTTGCTTTATGTGTCCTTCCTTGGCGTATGAACCATTCTGTTTCTTTAACTCTCCCAATTCTCCACCCCTTATTTTCTCAAAATGAGGGGCCCACATGCCCAAAGACCCAGGCTGCTGAGTGAACCTGCATCAGGTAGGTGTGGCTGTCCCTCCAGCCTGGGCCCAAGGACCCTGGGTGGCTGTTTTCCTGCCAGCCAGGGCCTGGAGGTCCCCCAGGTGGCTATTTTCCCACCAGCCAGGGCCTTGGGGACCTTGGCCAACTAGCTCCCATCTGAGCAGTTAAGCAACAGGCAGGGTGGCTGTCTTCCTGCCAACCAGGATCTAGAGGTAGCTGTCTTCCTGCCAGGCAGGGTCTTGGGGGCCCTGGCTGGCTAGCCCTTATCTGAGCAGTTAAGCTTCACTAGGGGCAGCTGTCTTCCTGCCATTTAGGGCCTTGAGGACCAAGGTAGCTGTCTTCCAGCCAGTTGTGGCCTGGAGGAACCCAAGTGGCTGTCTTCTTGCCAGTAGGGGCCTTAAGGGCCCTGGGTGGCTGTCCTCCCACCAGTTGGGGTCTTGGGGACACTGAGTGGCTGTCTTCCTGGGGGCCCTGGCTGGCTAGCCCCAATCTGAGCAGCTAAGCATCAGGCAGGGGTGGCTGCCTTCCTACCAACCAGGATATGGGGGACCCTGGGTGGCTGTCTTCCAGTCAGCTGGGGCCTCCTCTAGCTCTTACAAACATTCTGATACTTCTCTTGCAATACTCCCTTCATTTTGGTGATAAAGGTGTCCCACTTAGGACTGAGCTTTCCAAAACCAGTTACTATGTGACTTTTTTCTTCAAGATACTATAAGTGGAAATTATTAAGTTATAGAAAACCACAAACACTGAAAGGATTCTTTAAAAACATCAAGTTTGTTTATGAAACTTTGAATTGATAAAATGACAAGGAGAGTAGAGTATATCTTAAAAATAACTTATGATGTCTGAATGGAAGATCATTTGTTTGATGTCAGAAATCAGTATTAAACCAACTAATGATAATTCAAAGAGAAAATATAGATAGAAGTAAACTAGCAATATTATTAGGATCTACAGTGTTTAACATTACCAAAGCTATTGGAGGCTGCTGTGGAATTTCCTTCTGTATGCTGTGAATGTGTGTTGCTCTGATTTGTTGATAAATAAAATGCTGATTGGCCAGTAGCCAGGCAGGAAGTATAGGTGGGATAAGTAGACAAGGAGAATTCTGGGAAGAGGAAGGCTGAGTCAGCCAGTCACCAGCCAGACACAGAGGAAGCAAGACGACATGGCAGAACTGAAAAAAGTCACCAAGCCATGTGGCTAAACATAGGTAAGAATTATGGGTTAATTTAAGTGTAAGGGCTAGTCAGTAATAATTCTGAGCTAATGGCCAAGCAGTTATAATCAATGTAATTTCTGAGTGATTATTTTATAAGCAGGCCATGAGTGGGAAAGATTTGCCCTGACCACTAGCTGGCTGGGACACAGGAAAACTTCCAGCTACAGGAGGCTACACCTGAAATGAGAGAGCAGAGGATGGGAAAGAGGGACAGAAAAGATAATATTGAAACAAGAGGGAAACAACAAGGTTTAAAGAGTAAGAATAAAGACAACAGTGCATTACAGAACACAGAAAAGCCATAAAACCTAAGTAAATAATATACCAACATAAAAGGTAAAGGAAAATAGTTAAGATATGTGTGTATATTAGTTAATATGTTAGAGAATTATGAGAGATAGAGAATATGGAAAGTACAATGAATAGTGTATTACACTGTTAATCAGGGCATGCCATTGGTGTCCTCTTTTTTGCTTCCTTCTATCCTTGTGTAGCTTCACATAGCAAACTGTGCTGAAGCAAAAGTTGTAGTTTGTAACTCTGGATCAAATCTAGAAAACCAGACTGTGGGATTGCAGTCTACAGAGCAATTTAATAAATTTCTTTTGTTGTTGTTGTTGTTGTTGATTTCTTGGTACATTTGTGGTGAGTAAACTTGTGGACATCAGTTCTCATACTCTTCTTGTTTCCTTAAAGCATGGAACACTGAAACTTCAGGGGAGTCAACTTCAGAATTGCATGGCATGCATCATCTACTCAATCTACTGCCTGCACTTGTCCCTTATCTGTTTACCCAAAGTGAACCCAGCATGTAATCAGACCTTAGAACCTGGTCTCTCTCCAGCTCACTTCACATGTGGTGTCATTGTAAGGGCATAGGAGACAGTCCTTTCCTGGTCTTTCCCACTGATGTCATTGGAACCATGTGCAGGAAGAATCTCTCCTTCTATCTTGATATGGCAGTTCTGCCTCTTGCTTCACATCCTGATCTGGGCAGTGTATTTAGCTATAGTTGCATTGATACAGGTCATTTTCACCTGTTCTACCAGCAACAATTTTTTGAGAGGAATGGAGGGTCTTAACTGTTGATTTACATTGAGTTTGCCTAGAATAACACATAAAGATAATTTGCCTCTCATTCACAGATCCCATTGTAGCCAATGAATCTAACAGCTATTTTGGTCTTACATCATTTGACCTTTCATATTTCCAGTATACAGTTTTGTTAGTATAGACTATAATTTAGAGTATATCTTTTAAAATAATGCTTACATAAAAACAGATTAATTTCTGTACTTTACTTATGTTTCCTTAGGTGAAGTAAAGAACCTTACACCTAGGTACATTATAAAACTGTTATCTTTCATGACAGGGCATATTGACATTTGAGGATGTGGCCATCGACTTCTCTCAGGAGGCATGGGAATGTCTGGACTCTACACAGTGGGCTTTGTACAGGGATATGATATTGGAGAACTACAGCAACCTGGTCTCTGTGGGTAAGACTATTTTTCTTTCATGATTTATTGTTTATTCTTACTCAATTCAGGTATGTTTTTCATTGTGTCTGACTTGTTTTCTTGACATCCACATGCTAATTTAATAAAACAAAACTTGGAATTCATCACATATAACAACATTTTAAGTAACTTTGCCTTGACATATTCACCTGTCTTGGTGCTGACAAGCATCCTCTAATCTTTTATAGTATGTTTTACCTTTCAGATACTTCTTAGATTATATTTTGATCTTTATCTTAATATTTCATAACATACTTCAATTTAGATTAAGTCATGTAAGTAAATTTTTTTTGCAACTCTGTGGATTTGGTCCCAGGTTTTGGCACCAAAATGTGAGTTTTGCAACTCTGGGTAAAGGTGTCCTGACTACCTGGGAGTCTGGAAACACCTTGAGCTGCCTAGGACAGCTCTGGTGGCTGCAAAGAGGCAGCTCAACCCTAGAGGGCCAGGTATCCTTGACACCCCAAGCTGCTCAGGACAGCTCTGCCATGGAGGTGTCCTGGATACCTGGAGCTGCTTAGGACAGCTCTGATGGCTGGAGCTGCCAAGAGGCAGCCCAACCCTGGAAGGGAATTTTTCGACTGCTCGGAAAGGTCAGGCCTGGAACTACATCAGGGAAGGGTATCCTGACAGTTTGGGAAAGTCAGGACTGGAGCTGCCAGGAGAGCTCTGCAGGGAAGGGTATCCTGACTGTTCAGGATAGTCAGGGTAGACCTGGTGTGATGGGGGATGATCTCCCTGCAGGATATAGCAATCCTGCTCCTCTCCTGGAGAGTTGCTACAGCTGAGCTTTGCTCAATTCCTACTTGATGGATTTCCTAGTGGCTGCCTCTACCAGAGTAGAGAGAACAGCTCTTTTTAACTGACCAGGCAGGGCAGTTTACATAGGATATCTTGGGGGTGGAGTCAACCAGGGGTTGACTTGGGGCCCAGGGCTCTACTGTCCTGTCCTGTGATTGATTGGTTTCACAAGTCAGTTGGCCAGGGGCAGAGATGGCTCTGATTTGAGCCAAACTGTGTTTCTTTCACTGGCCTTATTTAGCTTTTTTTTTTTTTTTTTTTTTTTTTTTACACTAATTCTAAGGCCAGGGCACATTTCTTTTACTGACTCTGATTCTAGGGATCAAGAGTGTTTCTTTGGTACTGATTTCAGAGTCAGGGCATATTTCCTTGGTTCATTTCTCTGGCTCAGGTCCCAAACCCAGGTTGTATTTCTTTCCCTGGTACTGGGCCCCAGGGCCAGGATTCTGCTGTCCTGCTCTGTGATTAGTTGGTTTCACAAGTTAGTTGGCCAGGGGCAGAGATGGCTCTGATTTGAGCCAAACTGTGTTTCTTTCACTGGCCTTATCTGAGTCATCTTTCTCTAGTTCTGGGCTCCAGGGTCAGGGTGGATTTCTTTAGCCAGACCCCTTTCCCTACATTCCCCCTTTTTGTTTAATAATAAGCAGCTGGGATTTGGAAAGGGAGTGGAGTTATCATTAGACTGCTTCCTGCTGAATTGGGCTGTCGAGTTTCTTGGGACAATCTTGATCTTCTTCTTCAGGATTTAACTAGGTTCTGCAGATCTCTGGCTTTGTTGATAGGGCCTGGTAATTCTGTAATATTAACTGGTTCAGAGTTGGTTAGAAATATTTTGGGTCTGTTGCTGAAGAAATCTAGCCAAGAGGTTTATGAGGCAGGGTGCAATTAGTAGGACCAAGAAAAGGAAGAAATGAGGGGATAAGAAGTGTGTGGGTAGCATTCAGTTCCATATCTGACTATTAGTGATCCACTGTATAGAGATATCAAGTGGATAGAACAAGGAGGTAGGATCAAGAAAGGGTGACATTAAGGGTGTAAGAACCTTTGAGGAGCTTGGACCACTTCTCTATCTATTCCTAGGGGTTGAGAGAGTGGAATGTGTGCTCTCTATATTTTGAGCATATCTGGTGGATGGGTTTGATAGATGCTATAGTAAAGCTTCCCACTGACTCCCATTTTCCAGTTGGGGTGCTATGGGCCCTTAATCAGAATGTAAAAGATTCCCCATTCTTCATAACAGGCAGAGTGTCTTCCTGCATATACATTATGTTTCTAGCAGTCTCCAGACCCTATCACATGAGTGGTCTGGTTGAACTGCTGGGCATATGTCTCCTGAACCTTAAATCTCCAAATGTAGAGTTTGATAGCATTATGAGTGAGTGGGAAGAAGTAGAAGGATAAGAAGTTAGAGCATGACCTGATAGGGTGGGGCATGAGCTTTGACAGGTTGTTGAGGTCTCATTATTCTGAGACCAGAGGCAGACAGGTCTGTATATAGTTTTTGAGGTTGTCTCTTTCCTAATTGATGAGCATGGGTTAGAACTCTCAATTCAGCCTGCTGATTTGTGGTATGGGCTGGAAGAGCTTGTGTTTTGACCACTATGGTGTCTGAGATGATTGCATATCCTACTCCATGTACTCCTTCCTATAGGAAGGCGCAACCATCTATATACCATGTATAAGTGGCCTGAGGTAGTGCTCCTTCCTGCATATGTATTAGATAGGGTAGTAACTCTTCTAGAGTCTCAGTGAATGAGTGTGATGGTTGGGAGAGAAGATTTGAAATGTTAAGAGGTGGACAGGGGACAGGCGGTGGTGGCACACGCCTTTAATCCCAGCACTTGGGAAGCAGAGCCAGGCGGATCTATGTGAGTTCAAGGCCAGCCTGGGCTACCAAGTGAGTTCCAGGAAAGGCACAAAGCTACACAGAGAAACCCTGTCTCGGAAAAAAAAAAAAAAAGAAAAGAAAAGAAAAGAGGTGGACATGGTTGAAAAGTCATTGTTGTGTCCTCTACCAGTGCCCCCTGAAGGGAGAGAACTTGAGAGGGAGGTAATATTTGGAGGCCCTTATATGATAAAAGGTGTGACAGATGGTGAGGAGGAAAGACAGTAATGGGTGACCCAAAGGTTAACTTCATAAGGAGATGCTTTCCATCTGGGGTCTCATAATCCAGGTTGATACATTGTGAGAGGGCCTTTGTAAAGCAGTTGAGGAATTCAGATGGGTTTTAAGTTTTTTCCTGGATGACCCTTTGGACTTTTTCATAATTTACTGCCTTAAGGGCAGCTTTGCGGAGACCACCTAGGAGACAAGTTACAAATCTATTCCTAGCTAGGATGTCTCCTGAGTTATTGTAATCTCATCCAGGCTCCTGGTCTGGGACTGCCCTAGCCTCTACTGGGTAGGTGTTATCTGTGTGATGGAGTTCATCTGCATGGATTTAGTCTGATCCCATACTCACCTACATTCTTCTGGGAGGAGATTGTTGGTAAAGATCATACAAACATTGTGAAGGTCATAGGATTGGGTAATGTACTGGAATTCTTTAATAAAAGTGGAAGAATTGGCAGTATAGGACCCTAACCTTTTTTCTTTGTGGAGGGGGTAGCTCAGATAATGAGAAGGGGACATTTACTCTGACTAGACCATCCCTCCCGGTGACCTCTCACAAAGGGAGAACTGGGGCTGATTTATATTGAGGAGGTACAGGAGGTCCCAAGGTAGAGTGGGAATGAGTAGCAGGAGGATTAGGGACTGTCAGTGAGTTGAAAATGGGTGCCAGAGAGAGTTGACTTGGTGGATGACCTGTTTCTGAAGAGGGAGAAAGGGAAACTGAAGGGACTGGAAGAGAAGGACCTGTGGGCTTTGCTTTTGGTTTATAAGGAGGAGGCTCATTAGCTGGCTCAAAAGAAATAGTTTAATCCTGTTCTGATTTCATAGCTAGCAAAAGCTGGGTGGGGGAACAAGAGGCACAGAGAGAAGGCTTGGAGCAAAGGTAAGAGAAGGCTTTTACATATAGGATCTCTTTCCATTTTCCTGATCACTCACAATAGTTGTAAAGGTCCCGTATAATATTGGGATCTAGTGTGTCATTATGTAGCCATTTAGATTGATTATCTAAAGGATAATGAGGACAAACTTTATTACACAGGCAAACAAGTTTAGAGCCTTTCAAATCAGGTGCCAGGTGTAAAGGCTTGAGATTTTCTAGGAGGCATCCCAAGAGCACATGTGAGGGTATGGAGTGCAGAGTTCCCATGGATGAGAGGGAAGGGAAATAGTCACACAGCCTGTATTTGTAGGTGTCCCCAGGACTCAGGGAGGACTGAACAGGGACCAAGCCATTCAGAGGGTCATCACCCAACTCAACAGGGGTCCAGCTTAGCCTGACTAAGCCAGTGGAGAGACTCAGGTGCTTGGTATCAGGGCTTCTGTAGAAGTGAGAGGGCCAGAGAAAACAGAGCTCTGGGGGAAGGACTCATCTAGAGGAAAGGGCTGAAAAAGGGAGACTTTTGTGGTTCCTTTTGTGGGAAAATAGGAGAGCACAGGAAGGGATACTTATAACTGCCTGATTGTAGCTCTGAGGATGGGGAGTGTGTGGTCAGGTGAAGAAGGCCAGCTGTAACCTTAAAGACCATGGCTGGGGGTACCTCCACTTGCAAGAGTACTAGAGGGGTACTGGACACTCAACGGTCACTTCCTCAGACCCAGGGAAATGTTTACACTGATCAAAAGGGGAACTCACCTAATTGACACTGTGGAATGGAATGCTGAGTGATTGGTGAGACAGAAGTTTGGTCTATTGCAGAGGGACTGGAGATAAGGGAGAGTCCTAGTGTGGCTCAGACACAAGGGGAGAGCACAGGCACCAAGGGAGTCTATCTTGGGTTTTGGCACCAACAATGTAAGTAAATTTCTTGCAATTCTGTGGGTTTGGTCCCAGGTTTTGGCACCAAAATGTGAGTTTTGCAACTCTGGGGAAAGGTATGCTGACTAATTGGGGAGTCAGCCAACACCTTGAGCTGCTTAGGTATTTGAAAAGGAACTCAGGTATGCAATATTAACAAAAGTGTTTTTTAATATTTTAAAATATCAGGAGATGGCAATTAGGAAATTTTACAACTTAAACTCCTTATTTGATCAGTACAGTGGTGTATTAGAAACTGGTGTACTTTAATTATTATCTCCAGAAAGGGTCATATGTTTCTCTTAATACATAGGTCTCACAATAACAAAACCAGAGCTGATCAACTCTCTTGAACAAAGCAAAGAGCCCTGGAAGGTGACACTGAAGGCAAGTAAGAATTCAGACCTGTAGTGGGGTTTGTGAAGATCTTCTTCACTTGAAATGATCTAAAAATAAACTTTTAATAATCTCCTTAAATATGTCATAAAGAAGATGGAAGATGATTCATTGCTATATCCTAGAATGTTAGTGAGTCCTTAATTATCTTGAAATGAAAACTCATTCAATTCATATTTTGACTCTGTATGATAGACTATTTCTCTTTATCATTTCATGCCTTTTTTATGCTTTCATGCCTGCATTACATGGTTTTCATTGTTATGTAATATTTAATGAAAGGAGGAAGTAGAAAATTTTACAGCTCTACTCATTTTTGAAAATTACATAGTTGTTTCTTTGCCTTTTGATTCTGTAGCAATTTATATGTAATTTTATTTATGCAAAATTTCATTAAGTACGTTTTGTGCACAAAACACTGTTTTCTTGTAGTCATCCATCAGCTCTGGCCCTTACCATCTTTTATCTCTCTGTCTTGAATAAATCCTGAGCATTGCAAGGAACAGCTTTGGTATATACATCACACTTAAACCTGAACATTTATTTTCTGCAAAATAACATACTTGTAGATCTCTCCTTTATCTCTCCAGTTCTGCAAGAACCTTCTCTGATGAAGGCTGAGAGATGCAATAGTCTGTTGTAAAACAATAATGCATCTGAAATAATTTTAATACTATGTCCATTTAGCAGAATAATGATAATAGAGGTAATTTAACTTTTAAGAATTCTCCTAGAATTAGCAAGAATACTCCTCAAATTATTCCTCAAAGTAAAAGCAGAAGGAACATTGTCTAGTTCTTTTCATGAGGCTAACTATCTTGATACCTAAACCCCATAAAGATCCATAAAGAAAATGAGTGATAGACAATTTTCATTATAAACATAGAAGTAAAATTTTTTTGAAAAAATGCTTTCAAACTGAATTCAGGAACACATCAAAAACATTCTTTATGCTCAGATAAGTGGCTTCCTAAGATATGCATGGATGGTTCAACAAATGCAAACCAATAAATATAATCCTACACATAAACAGACTGAAAGACAAACCCCATATGATCATCTCATTATATTCAGAAAAGCCAAAGTCCTTGAGAGTTTTGGGATACAAGGGACATACCTTAAGTTTACAGCAAGCCAACAGCCCACATCAAATTAAATGGAGAGAAAGTCAAAGCATTTCCACTAAAATAGGGAAAAATACAAAGATGTCCTCTCACTCCATATGTATTCAGTATAGTACTTGAAGTCTTATGTAGAGCAACAAGACAACTAAAGGATATCAAGGAAGTGATAAATAGGAAACATGACAAATAGGAAAGGAAGAATTCAAAGAAACTCATCTACACATGGTATGATATTATACATAAATGACAATAAGAACTTTACCAGAAAACTCCTACAGCTGAGAAACACTTTCCTCAAAGTTAGTGGGATACAAAATTAACTCACAAAAATCAGTAGCATTCCTATATACAAATGAAAAATGGACTTAGAAATCAGTGATATGTTGCCTTTTGTAACTGTAAATAAACAAATGAAAGACCTGTATACAAACTTTAAAGCATTCAAGAAATTAATTGAAAAAGATGCCAGAAGATGGGAAAATTTCCCATGCTCAGGCACTGATCAAGTAATGTAGTAAAAATAACAATCCTGTCAAAAACAATCTACATACTCAGTGCAATCCCCATCAAAATTCTAACATAATTCTTCCCAGATCTTGAAAATAGAGTCTTCAGCATCATATAGAAACACACAAATAAACCTCATGATAGCTTAAACAGTCATGAAAAATAAAATAACTGTTGGAGCTATCACAATTCCTATTCTCAAATTATACTACATAGTTATATTAATAATCAGGTTTTGACCAAGAAATATTGCTCAATAACATATACATTGATCAATAAAATCAAATTGTAGACATAGATTTAATTCCACTCACCAATGGACTCCTTATTTTGCTAAAGAAGCTAGTATGAATACCTGATTTTTCACAAAGAAAGTAGAAATACACACTGGATAAAAAAGTATTTTACCCTAATCATTCCTAAGCTATCTCCAACTGATAACAACTCACAGATGAAGAATTAGTATTCTCCAATGGTGTATCAAGGGGAAAAAAGAACTCTTAATGATAGTCAATGTGCCCTGCAGTAGATGGCCAACAACAAAACAGTGCAATGTTATACTTAGATATTTTTTGTCCCATAATGTTTATTGTGAATTTATTTAGTTTAATTTTTAATTTTTATTCTGTGTTACAGAATCTTTGTGTATATACTATGGCATCTAGGGTGGTTTGTTGTTTGTTTTTATGCAATTAGTTTGTGTGTAAATGTGTGTCTATTGCCATATATATGATTCTTATACTTTTTCTTTGGCATATTTTTCCTCTGTTTGCTCCTATCAGATTTATTTGATTTATTTTCTTATGTTATTTTATTTTATTGTTGTTCTTTGGATGTTCGTTTATTTTCTAAGAAGAGACAGAAAGGGGGTGGATTAAGATAGGAAGTAAGATGGAGAGGATCTGAGAGGAGTTGAAGAATGAAAAACCATAATCAGTATATATTATATGAAAAAAATCTATTTCAATAGTGAAAAATGGGGAAAATTCTCTTTCTGATGAAATGTTGAGTCCTATCGAATTTTCTTGAAGTCTGAAATTTTGGGAATCCTTGCTTGTAAAGTACATTATTCTCTGTGGGCTGGTGGAAAATAATTGATTTCTCATGTTCATGTCCATTTTCCCTTATTAATATTATATCTTCTTTATTAATATTACTCACTTTATTCATTTTGTTGGTTTATAGAGATGAGTTGTGTCCATTTTGAACATACAGTTTCATAATGAATGCATTTTTTACTATTAGGTTATAGAGTTATTTTACTTATTTCTCTATTACTGTGATAAAAAACCACAACAAAGGCAATTTATTGAAGAAAGATTCATGATATTGAGTCAGAGGTAATAGTTGTCAGTGGGCTTGAACAGCAGTGAGAGCTCACATTTAGAACCATAACATGAAGCAGAGAGAGAGCTCACTGGTTACAATAGGAGGATTTTCAAATCTCAAAGCCAGTGCCCAGATATATACTTCTTCCAGTAAGGGGATACCTCTTAATCCTACCCATAAAACTCCACCAACTTAAGGCTAAAAATTCATATGTCTGAATATACTGGGTGTCAGAGCCATCTGATGAGTCAACTAGGGTAGCTGAGTAGGGCGTGAGGCTGAGGAAAAAATAGAGACAGAAGAATAGATGGAAACAGAAAATCAGTGCTGGGAGGGCTTCTGGTCAGTACCAGAAAAGACCTGAGTTTATTTCACAGCCATCTTATGTACAAAACTGAAAAGCAACAGCAGAACAAAGCATAGCACAGGTGGTCTAGCCTCTCCTTGAATCAAGGAACAGGCAGTTTCATTATCTCAAACATATGCCACCTGCTAACTTCAGCAGTCTGCCTGGAATTGAGCATTTGCTAAATAATTAGTTCTTTCCCACAAAGCTAATCAGGACTGTCTCACAGCCCCTTTACTTTTCCCAGGAGCCTTATCAGAGCTTTCTCACAGCTCCTGAAGAGACTAGAGCAAATAAGCTTTGAACTCTTTTGAGTCAAAATGGACTTCAGCTTCAAGCTGAGTAACTGTAGGAAACTGAGTCACTGTGGGCTCCCAGAATTGGGGCATCTCGTTCAAACACCTCACAGTTGTATTTACTATTCTGATTTTTTTGAGACAGGGTTTCTCTGTGCAGTCCTGGCTGTCCTGAAACTTGCTCTGTAGATCAGATTGGCCTTGAACTCACAGCAATTTTCCTGCCTTATGCCTCTCAAGTGCTGAGATTAAAGGTGTGTGCCTATTCTGAAAAAATTATTTGAAATGTCTACCTTAACATAATTAATGTCAATACATTTTAAATAAGTTACTTCATAAATTTGTGAAACATCTATCTACTTGACATAAGAAGATATTTTAAGAACAAAAGATCTGTAGTTTTTAAGTATACCATCTTGCATATGTGTCTACATATTTGTAAAATTTTATATTATGTTTTACATTCCAAAAAATTCAACCCAAGTTGGCTAATTCAGACAATTATATATTTTCCCTTCTTCCATGTCTGTGTTTCCATTATACTCAATACATAATTTCACAGAACATACAAAATTCTATACAGAAAGTGATGTCAGGAGTACTTGAAAGTAGTGACCTGAATACCTTTCATTTAAGGATGTTCCAGATATGTGGGGAAGATAGGTCTTACATTTTCACAAGCAGATTTTTCAGTAGTGAACCATTTACATACAATTTAAAAACATGTTTTAATTATACACAGTAATTTGAAAACTCTGAAAAGTGACACATGGTACAATACAGTTAATTCTTCAAAATATTTTTGATGTACTATGATTTTAAACTGTACTTTTAGCAGTTTTTGAGAAAAAGAGAGCCACAAGTAAAGAACACTTTTCTCTGTGTAATCAGAATGACACATATTCTATTAAACATTGACTAGAGTTCCCTCAACAAGTAATTCCATTTTGTAACAAGTTACTCAATTTAGATCTACAATGACAAGGTTTGTCTCAATCACATGTGGCTGAAAGGTATCATAGTCTTTCTTGTTGTGAAAAGCCTTACAACATCTAGTGATGTTATTAAAACTTTTGCAGAGAGCTCTGTGAAGAATAGTACCAGAACTCTTATCTTATTGGGTCAACTTCTCAAGACAATGCCTCAGGGTATATCTTTATGCAGGACTTAATACTTACTAATACACAGGATAAAGGAGTTTTTTTTTTCCCCTGAGGGCCATTTGAAAAACAATAACTTTAAAGGGAATTTTGATTATAACAAAGACTTTTTTAGCCACCAGTCTGACCAGACCCAAGATTAGCTTTATACAAGCTATAAACATGACAGAGCATTTGATGGATGCTCAAACTGTTACATTCAGAAGAACTATTAATAGAAACTTCCTAC